GGGAGGTGAGTGGGGGGGGGGGGGACGGACACACAACCCTAAACTGTATTCCTACTCTTCATTGCCAGTTGGGCCCACTACACTGTGGCATGTGGACTCTGCTTAAACCAATGCTAAAAGTCATGGTTTTCATGCACAAGTGCAGTACAGGGTTTTGGGTTTTTGTTTGGTTTTTTTTTTACGTTACCCTTGGGGTTTGGTTTTGGTTTGTTTTTTCTTTTAGCTTAGAATACACGTACACACACATGCTATACTTTAGCATATGTTTTCCAAACTGTGTTCTATGCTCTGTTTAAGTCGTTAAGACTGTAAAGTCGTTTAAGCTGGACTTTATTTCCTTGTTAGCAAGCTACAGCCAAGGTGTGGTGACTGACAGTAGAAGGCTGATCTAAACATTAACAAATTAACTGGGGCAGGATGTGTGCTGGGCAAGGGCAGCAGCAGGAACCTTTGCTCAACTGTAGCGCATGACCCCGCTTTTCAACCTGCATGGTTCTGAGCATAACTGGTGAACTGTGAGGCAGTTGCTTGCCAGTGCCCCCACAGAGGAGGGGGTGAAAGAAATTGTAACCAAGCGAAGGGTACCTTGGAAAAGCCTTGAGGAAGACTGGCATGTGTGATACTTGTGGAAAGAGCAGAGGGAAGCTGAAGGACTTGGAAGGCAAGTACAGCGCTTTTTAAGCACAAGGTCTTGCCTTGGAAAGAGCTCAGTGAACTGGGTGCGACTTCCTTCACCTGCTGCAGAGGGGTGAAGAGCTGAGTCAGCTTTGCTGAGATTTGAACTGTGATCCCACACATTTTAAGCTGGGCTGCTAGTCCACAAACTTGACGCTACACAGAAAACCAGATGCAGAAATATGTTTCCTATCAGATTACACTGTCCTCTTGGTACATACAAGACAGTATGTCAGTCATTTAGTCTAGGTCCTGGTTTTTTATATCACTTCACAGCTTGCACTAGAAACTTTTTGGGACAATTATTCCCTTTCTGTCATATCTCCTTTTTAAACTAATTCTGTTTAACTTGGGAAACTGTGCTCCTTCTACATCCATCTCGCCTTGAAAACACACTGCAGAACAAACAGAATTGCTGAACTCTCACAAAATGGGCATTGCTCATACTCACATGGCAACTCAGCATGTACTGTGTGCTATCTGGTCTCAGTTCCAAGAAGTGAGAGGTAAAAAAAGCAAACCCTGGAACAGTTAACTAATTCCCTTGGATGAGACCATGAGAGATGAAGCCGCCTTTTGTCTACCGAATATTGAATGGGATAGGTGTGGAGAGGGCTGTATGGAAAAATCTCTACTTGGGTAGTGTATGGAATACCCGAAGGTTGCCCTCTGCCCCCTGCCCGTCTCTGTTGGTAGGGAGGAAACCCACATCATTACTCTTTGTCTGCACTATATCCTATAGGAATGCGAGCAGGAGATAAGTACAGAAGAATAAAATCTCCCTGCTGTTCCTTGTTGCATTTAAACATCACTCAGTTGCTCAGAAATTTCCTGTGGAAGTTAGAAGTTTGGTTTTTTTAATGAATTTTTGAACGTAACAGATAAATGAGGTGGAGTGGATGGAAAGAGTAAGTTTCTGCAAAATATCAGTTTATGTTAAGATATTTCTGTTGCTTGTATAAAGCCTAGAAAGAAGCACGAATCATAGTAATCCATTTAGGATATAGAGATATACAACCTATTACGTCCATTTTGAAGGTTTCGGTTGTGCTGCCCTCTTATTGTACATGTTAACTACTTGTATTAGTTGATATAATGAATTAAAAAGACATTAGTCATCTGCACCAGAAGTTACTCACTTTTTGCCACTTTTTCTCGGGAAGGCTCCACTGAGTCCTTTGGAGACTTGACTCCCTCTATCTCCTTTCACGTCTCTTTCCACGTTACTTGTCTCGCCTTTGTGAGCACCTTGTGTCATGGTAACCATCCCTTCAGCTAAGGCAAGTTGGACTCTGCTCCCTGTGGAGCCATCAGAGCTATCGGACGAGCTCGCTGCCTGGCTGCAAGTTTCTCCTTCAGTCCTGGTGGTGAGCAAACTTTATCTGTAAAGCTGCCAACGCCAGTAGGAGGGAACAGGTCTGGCTTAGTGGTGTTGCTGCTGGTCAGATCTGGTTAAACTGTAAAACAACATTCTGTATGAATGTGAACATATTTCTAGCTTTAGGAAAAAAAAGAGACTGAGTCTGTGTTCTGGAGGGACAAATAGTTCATGTTCATGTCCTATATGAAAGAACTGCAGTGGTGCTGGCCCCGCTGTTACGACTTAAATTCCCTCAAACTCTTGAGATTAACCTAAAAAAGAAGAACTTTTAAAAATCTAAATGTACATTTTTTTTATCATTGTTTTGTTTTCTAAACCCCCTTTGGGAGGGAGATTGTGATTATTAGCACTGTGCTATCTCCTAAATAAATGGTGAGGTTTTTTTACTATGTTAAGAAATTTCCATATCTACATCTCTCTGTCCTCTGAGGCCAATTTCCATCAATTTTATTCCCATTTCCTAAATCAGCTGTATCCCCATTTACCTTTTATTTCCCAGGCCTGCAAATGCAGTTATAGCAGGATTCTCAATTTCTTCATCTCGCAAGACAGTTGCACAGTACCTCATGCCCGTACCATTTTCTCAGGCTGAGTGCTTAGAACAATTGGTTTGGGTAAAACTTTTCATTTAAAATTGGGTTTTTTGGAAAAGTGTCATAAAGTGTCAACCTAAAATGAGATGTTAGGGAGCTAACATCGCAAAACAAGGCTGATATTTATATTTTAGTTTTGTTGTGTTGGTAGGTGTAACAATTGCTATCATAAAGCTGTCATGGGTACAGATTCACCAAATCCCTTCAATGTGTGATTTAAACATGCATAATTTTAGGCAAATGTTATAGTATTTTGATACCTTAGGGATGTAATTAATAAATAAAATGATTCAAGGACTAAAAAGGCAGACTGATATTGAATGGATGTTGAATCAAGTCTCTGCTGTATCAGGGAAGGTTTATCTGAAAAATGTTTGCTTCTTGCTTTGACTTCAGAAGTATTACAAGGTTATAGATAAATGGAGTGTGTGTTTTTCTAAACTTTACTTTTCTTTATGTGAATAATTAAATTGCCTTTGACTGACTTACCTACCTGAGGAGGGTGATCACAGTGTAGACCCTTTCTTTTTGCATACCCAGGCACATTAGCTGGAAAGTCTGAGAATGCATTGACTACATTTTACGTTATTATACGGTTACAAGACATGAAATAGAGCCTTGGAAATGGCTCTACAGAAGATGTAAGTTCAATTTTATTATTTAGTATCAAGTGATTGTTAAGGGTCATACTGTTGCTGTGTTTATATGTCTCTACTGTAAATATTTGACTGATACTAACAATTCAGCCTGTAAGTGACTCTAGTATAAAGTTTAGAATAAGAAGCATTTTTCATTGTCATGAAATTTTTTTTGGTGTTCTTGTCAGTAATATTCTAATTTGCCAATGACTATTTCTGTTTAATGACAATAAGAGTATGCTTTTATGTTACTTTTTAAACTTATTTAGCATATAATCATGGCAGTAGCTTTACGAAGTATCTCTTGATATCTTTTGCTAAGAATTTTTGTTTCTTATACGGTATTCTCCAGTTCATATTTTTTCAGCTACCAAAACCTGTGTATCAGTAGGTTTCATTCTCACGAGCTTATCCGCTTCCATTCTGGTTGCCATGCATCGGTCCAGGTACAACATAAATGGAGATTTTTGCCACAAGCAAGTGTGTCGCCTTTTCCAAATGTGTTAGTGGGTTTTGTTGATCAAAATATGATCTTGATTGACAGCAAATCTAGAATGTTTGACAACATGAATTAATTATTGGAAGAGACTTTCTAAAGTAGCAAAGGGAGTTAGGAACACAGTTCAAATTGGAAAATGGAGAACAAAACCCCAAACTTTGTTGACAAAACTGATGCTGATCTCTATAAAGTATATTAAATTGTAACCACAAAAAAAAAAAGTTGGTTGCCTTCCAATAGAAGTTGCACTCCTGAAACCATGAGTTTTCTTTGAAAATCCACTTCCTCCTCTGATCTTGGTTATCTTTCTCAACAATCCAGTGGTTTAAAGCAAGACCTGTTCTTTTGTGGAAGTATATATGTGAACAGGTGTCTATGTGTATAAGTAAATGCACTGTAACTTTACAGCTTCCATAATATGGAAGAATTAACCTGGAATAAAACCACTTTGAAAAGGAATCATGGCGGAAAATAAAATTATTAAGCAAACTTACAACATGACAGCAAGTGTCAATGGAGCCCTTTGGAGTTCTTTTAGCTGCATTTTAGATAACTTTGTTTTGCTTCTCACAGAGACCTAATCTTGGAAGGCTAGAACTTCTGCGCAGAGCAGCTGGAATTAGTTAAATACTGGAACTGCTGCTGATTTGGTTGCATCCTCCAACATGACCAATCCTCAGTAAGTACCATGTGAGGATAGTTATAACCTGTTTTAAGTAGGAGGGAACAGATTGCTGCTACCTGTAGGAGAATGATATTGTGACATCAAGAGGGTTCTGTTGGTATTACTGGAAGGAAAAGTTGGTGTTTTGAGAAGGAGTGGTAGGATTTGATCACACTCTTTAGAGTATGAATTAGCAGAAAAAAGATGAATGCTGTAAGCATGTCTCATGTGTTACTAATAGCCAGTGGCTGAAAGCTAGTATGTCATATTATTTTCAGATCCATTTGCCTATTTTCTTTCCTGCCACCAAACCTGTCCCAAAGCTGTTTGCCAACACTAGTCTGTTGGTTGGTTTGTTTTTCTTTTCAGTCAAAACAGAAAATGTCTGTCATTTAGTCTGCATAAGAATACAGAAGGTCAATACTGTTGGGAGAGGGAAGGCTGTACCAACCCATTTCCTTTTTCCTTTACAATACTGAAAATTGGATCATTGTATGCTTTTTCATGCAAAACTGAACCATCTTGGACTTGTAAAGGTAAATGTCCACAGGATGGCACTAAAGGTGAAAATCAAAGAAAGAAAATTCTTGCTAAAATTAGCTCCTCCCTCTGGGCTTCTGATTTCAGATTGTTTACAGAGGTATAAATTTCTGTTGGAAAGGAAAGAATCTCATTACTTTCCATTATTAGTTATACAAAGAATAAAATAAAATAAGCCTTTAGGTTATTCAAATAGTAATTCCTTTTACCTCTGCTTTCTGCCATAGTATGACACAGTTGCAGCCTTTCCCTGCCAAATGCTTGAGATATAACAGCATTTTCCGAATTTTAAAATTACTTTCTTGTGTAATGCTGGCAGCAGTTAACTCCTTTTAATATAGGAATAATGTTTTCTGCCTGAAAGGATTAGTCTAACGGTGAGGCTCTGACCAATAGCATCTTTCTCTCTCTTTCACATAGAATTTTAGTTCCTTCACCCACATCCTTAGACTTACAAGATATATGAGTTAAGAACTCTTCTAAATTATTCTTTTTTCTTTTTTTCCTTTTTTTTTTTAAAAAAAATGAACTGTTAATCAGGTTGCTTGAATAGCTGGAAGATTTTAATAATCTTCTTTAAAACAGAATCACCAATGTGACTTTTGCAGTCAAATGAAAGAGGGAAGTTGGGTGCTAAGCACTTTTTAACTATATCCCTAAGGAAAAAGAGTATCTTCACACCAACTTTTGAAAACCTCTGGCAAGTAGCCCGAGATTTCTTCAGAAGTTAACAGGCTCCGCTGGATGAAAGCTAGAGAAGTTTGTTTGCGCCTACTCTGAATCAAATGGAGCAAGCAGCTTTCACCGAGTACTGCAAAGCCCCTGCTGGGGCTTGACATGCAAGCTCTCTCCTACAATGAAGTCGTCCTTTGCATGCACTAGATAATACACTAACTGATAAAGTTTGAGTTTCTGGATAAGTAGTATCTTGTTATAAATGTGGAAGACATACATAGCCAGACTCTGGATTTACCTGCATGGAGTTCCCATTAATGTTAGTGGGGTGGTAGAAGAATACATGTAGTTAAGATAATCTTTATAAGGAGTCCATAATTCTTCTGAACCATTCTCCTTTCAGAATTATTTTGAAGTAACTTGTAACAGAATGATCCTTTCTAGTTGAGTGAAACAGTCGCCATCCATCAAAACTATTTGAATATTGACCCACAGCGGAAGAGGGGTCAAACTGCATCTGTTAATTAGCAGTTTATTCGTGTATAATGATTAATAAGCTTAGCTATTCATTACTCACTGATCTAACTTAGAAAGCAATGAGTTTTTAGTTGGCATAGTTACATACCTTCTTTCTGTTTTGCACAAATATTTTGCTTTTGGGTTCCTGCATTTTTTCCCTGTTTGTTTGTTTATAACACGTCCATTTATATTTAGTGCTTTTGAAGCGGATTCAGCAGAGTGAAATGCCATTCTTTGTGAGATTTCTGTTGATTGCAGTGGGATCTATGAAAGACAAGTTTGGAGAGATTTGGTCTGTCCCCTCAATAAGGACACCTTCCTCAATGACCTTGCAAAACCTTATAAGTTGCTGGCTTTTTAGAATTCTGTGAAGTTCTCGTCTCTAACTTATTTTTACTTGCTTATTTATTTCTTGATATTTGTTTATATGTATATGTGTGTGGAGAGAGAGGGGTTTTTATTTTGCTTTTTACATTTTCAGGCCTACAATAGAAGGTGCTGTTTCAGAAGTTGAGATAATTTCACAACAAGTGGAAGAAGAGACCAAAAGCATTGCTCCTGTACAGCTTGTTAATTTTGCTTATCGAGATCTACCTTTAGCTGCACTTGATCTGTCTGTGGCTGGATCCCAGCTTTTGTCAAATTTGGATGAGGACTACCAAAGAGAAGGGTAAGTACAAAGGACAGAATTTTGTTTCCTAGTTTTAGGTTATAGAAATTTCATGGTCTGTAAAAAAGAAAACCTTGAGCTGGAGAAGTGCATCCAGTTGTCCTCAAACTCTTTTTAAAACTATTGTCACAGAATGGAAGTACCCTTTTCTAATACAGCTATTCTGTGCTGGTTTGGGGGTCTTTATAACTTTAAGTGATTCATAGCTGCTATTTGACCACAGTCTGGAAGCCTTCTTTCAGGGAAAACTAGACCAAGCATCTAGCCTGTCAGACAAGCAGAATGGTCTGGTGAAAGCTCTTTGTGAAAGGTGTTTCAGGATGACAGAGAGTTGGCTACTGTGATTCATGTACACAGTGGTACATCTCCTGACTGAGAGACAGTGACTTAGTACTGCTGATTCCTGGACAGATTGTGTACTTCTCACAGAGTAATTTGAATTGCATAGTTTGCTTATGTGAGAACATTGTCTTTGATAATGTATATACATGTTACTCCTGTTCTCGTAGAACACTGTTCCAGTTTTATTGGAATGAAAGAACTTAATCAGCTCATAACATTTGGCCAAACATAACCCAGTGTCAGATTACATAGCATTGTTGTCTTACAGGACATTAGAAGTCATCCTTATGCCTGGTTCAGGCTTGAAATGGCTGTGGGTGGACTGCTGTACTAAATTTTTTATGAAAGATTTGGGTCAACTGGAGAGAATCCAGAGGAGGGCAGTGAGAATGATTAGAGGCTCAGAAAACTTGCCGTGAAATACTGATTGAAATAACTGTTTGTGTTTCACATAAAGAGGAGACTTTTAGGGGAGCTTATGAGAGACTTCAGTGAAGAAGAGAACAGTCTGTTATCGATCTCCATGATGCTTTGGATGGAAGATGGAAAGAGCTTGAGTAGCAGCAAAGAGTAGAATAATGAGGGTAGCGAAGTGCTGGTGTAGACTACTGGTGTGTATGGGGAGAAGGGGAATAGAGTTGCAATCACTAGATGTCTTTAAGATTGTCAGGAATGATAACACTACGGTTTAACATCCCTTGGGACAGAGATTAGGTGAGCACTTGTGCCTAGCCCCTCTTGATTCTGTGATTACTGTTCCACTCTGTGTCACACTGAAGAACTGTCGATAAGATCCATCTAAAAGCACTTCACAGTAAGTCATATAGAGCTCTCATTGATGAAGACATTAAAAGGCTTTATATAGGCCTCCATTTATTAACAGCTCAATGTGTTTTAACCTCTGAAATCAGCAGAGACCTGTTTGGTCTCTGCTCAGCAGGTATTCTGTATGGTAGTCAGGAAGCAGTATGTGGGGAAGGCTCTTGCCTTTAATTTCTTTCCAAATTGGACTTTATGAGACATCTCCAGAAAGTTGTTACTCCAAACAAGGGGAAATACATTTCAAGTAGGTTATATAAGTATGGTACAACTGTAACATAAAATACCCTGCATAGCAAAAGAGGCACTTGAAAATTAATTTGAGTATGCAGGTGTAACCCTCAGGCTATTTTGGTGCTGAGTAAATACCAGTTTAGTTCAAATATGCATTTTTATAGATTTTTATGATCTGAAAGTCTATTCTTCACTGTGCCAAAGTGCATAGATCTCTAATTGTAACCATTTGAGCAGCTTTGCAGTCTTATGCATGGAAATAGACTTGTCATTCTTTTCCTTAGCAGAGATCTCTTCCTTCACACAGACTTCTTTTGTGGCTTTATCAGTCTGAACAGAAATAAGCAGGTGCCACTCAGATGTCCCAGCTGTAGGATGGATTCTCTGAAGAAAATTCAGAGCTTTAGTTTGTATGTCTCAATGCCTTTTGGCTGAGTACGTTCAGCTGAGTCCCAGAACTGCATCTGCCTTGTAGGAATGATGGCTTCTTCCTTTCAGAAGCACTGATCACTATTGATGTCCTGTGAAACTTAGCAGAGCTGAGCTCAAGAAGCCCAGCAGCAAAAGTAAAATACTGTCCTCATACCACCTCGTGACTTGGTTGGGAATATGTCTGGATTTATGAATGTGGTGTAATTTCTTTCTCATGGCCTTGTTAGATGTGACTGGCTTCCACCTCAGTAAGAAAGAGAGTGAGTGGGTCAGATCAGTTTGGTAGAGGAACTGACAGCTACATCTCCCTCATGTATGAAGAGACTGATGTGGGAAGGGCAGCACAGGAGGTGGCAGAAAACGTCTAAGTCCCTGTAGTTTCTGCTAGCATCCATTTTCATAACTGTGAAGCTCTGTTACCCCAGGGCTGCCATACTATCATCCTCCCAGGGGGAGATACCAGGAGATACTGCTAATGCCAGAGAGTACTAAAAGGTGATATAGGACTCATCTTTCCCTCCCTGGCAGTCTGCCCTTGTCACAGAGTCCAAGTGTTACCTTCTGTATACTTTTCCCTGAGAATTTCAGGGAAGGTGTCAACCTGTATGACTTGTATATATTCTGTATGGCTCTGTTGTTCTAGATCTGCAGACAATCTTGGCAAGTTGTAGTCATTCAAACTGCAAGGCTCTGCAGGAGGAAGGTCTGGCACATTCCTGTGCTCGGAAGATGCTGGGTTGTTGTAACAAGTTGCATGTGTCCATGACCTTGTGGTTTTCAACATAATTGTCTACAATCCCTGGTTCCTGATGTAGGTTGTCACACTTCACCACTAGTAAGTCTCCATCTCCATGCACAGAGCAACAAGAGAGACATCAGACTAGAGATGAACAGGTGGGCAATAAAGGAGGCTTCTGATTTAATAGTTCAGTTGTGTGCACCCCAAGGTGTTCCTCTAACTTTCCTTCTTTAAGGCCAGAAGGTATTCAGGGTCCAAGCACAAGTGCAAGTTTAACCTGATTGCTAACTAGGGGAGCTTTTTGTTTTGTCTGAGAGAATGTTTCTTGCAATAAACCTGATATTAATAGGCAACCAGGAACAGGTGAGTCATAGCTCAGCTCTTTTTGTGTACCTGGAAACTCTCAGATGACATCAGACTATCTCCCCTTCCTATGAGAAATGAAAAAAAGAAAAGCAAAAAGAAAGGAAAATTATGGTCTGTCTTTTGTTAGAAAGATCATATGTAAATTGACATTCCCATGGCTTTAAAGATACTGGAATAAAAATTTATTTTGTGCAGTTTGATGGATCTTTGCTCTATCTATCATATCAAATGTTCAAGGCAGTCAATTCCCATCTGTCAGTGTTGTTGAAGGAATTTTGTGGACAGTTTGAGCTGGTTTTGTCAGAAACTTAGTTTACAGTGCTGATCCCTGTGCTAAGCAACAAAGAAAGGACTGCAGATTAGATGCCACATTAAGCCTGTCCCTGAAGTACACTTGTAAGTACTGAAAGGGTGATCAGGCAAGAAAAACCTTTCCACTCTCCCAGAAACCCTCAAACAAAACACAGAACGCGTTATCTTCTGATGTGGGTTGAGCAAAAATTCTTTTCCCTCTGTAGACTCCTCAAACAGGGAAAGTAGAAATATTTACATGATGGAAGTTGGTTAAGTTGGATGGAATCTGCATTGCAAATATTCTCGCTCATCATAAATCATGTGGATGGGCTGGCATTGCCGCCTTTGCACTGAAGAGGAGTAAGGTGCCTGTGGTCTCCACAGGTGGGATAGGAGGGATTCCTGCATCTGGCTTGCTTCCTAGCTGCAGTGAGGCTGATGTGCCTGGTGTTAATAGAGCTACAGGTCTTACTCTTCAGAAAAAGGAAATTTTCTGAAAAATGCCAACAATATGTAAGTAAAACATTTTGAGTTTTATGTGACTATAAAAATCTCTATATGTCTCTTCCACCCTGTGTAGCGCTGTGAAGAAATAGTAGCTTGGTTCTCAGAACCAATATGGGTGTGATGTTCATTACTTACTAGTCCCGCTGATCTGCCCTACGGGTAACTTGTTAGAATCATCCTTAGGTATTGCTGCTGTGGACTGTACTCCATGCTTAGACATTGCAGAAATGATTGAGGCATAGCCTGGAGACATGTATATAAGAAAAACTTACTCAAAAAATGTGCCTAGGATGCCAAGGAGAACACGTGGTGTATACTTTGAACGTATCTGTAACAGATTAGGTGATACTTGTGTACAAAAAGCAGCAGCAAAGTTACCAATTTTCTCTGTGTCTGTGAATTTATTGGAGAGACTGTGTCTGCATTGAACTCAGTTTACATGAAAAGAATGCATAAATGTTTCCTTAAGGAGACGAGTCACCCAGAAAGCTAAGGAGATTTTAAAACGTTAACATTCGCTTTAAGTGCCACTCTTAATTTCTTTTTTTCCAATCAAGTATTCTGTTTTCCAAAAAATACTTTGTCTTCTATTTTTGTATCAGTTGAATAAAAATGGTGGGGAGTAGTCTGAAAATTGACAACATGCAGAAAGTGCTACATGTGTGCTAACAGGGATAGGGAAAAGCTCTCCTTCCTGTATTTTCCTTACGTTCCAATTAGGAGGTATCATTCACAATAAATTATAAAAGAATTTACAGAGAGTTGCACAACAGGCTGTATTTTTGTGTGTGTGTGAATACGCAGTTAGGCAGTGAGCCTGTGTCTCAAAAAGATCTGTGTTTAATGGGGGTTGGGAAGCAACAGAGAGATACACCAACTTTAAATTATTTGTTGTATTTGTTTTAGATTGCAGCTCTTGGATTTTTATGTTAAACAAATTGGAAACATGAAGGTGCTTGCAAATACTGTGTTTTACATCAACAACTGTAAAGATTGGGAGTTCATACAGTTAATGTGACTCACCTGACATTAACTGTAAATAGTCATGCCGTTCTAATTTAATCATTTATGAGCATCTGTTCATAGCCTTAGATTTGTTTGGTCACAGCTAGAAAGTGCATTGAATAGTAGGAATATCTGAAAAAAGAAAACTATAGGAAGGGATAGAGAGAGAGAGATAAAAAGGAAGGGAAACCAGAACTGAACAGAGAGCAGAGATTTACAGAGATTAAGGAAAGAGTCATGAGCTTTTAATTTTAAATTAGTT